CCACGGCGTTATTCTCGGATTTGCGGAGAGAAGCGGGATGCTTGGCGCCGCCCGTTGCACCGCGACTGAATTTTTAAACGCGAGCCTTCCGCATAAAGAGCGATGAATAAAAGCGTAAGCAATCTTGTCATTTCGAAGTCACATTTCAGAGCTGTTCCGAATTGTCAAATTACCTGTATTAGACTTTGTTACATTTCCAACTTGTGTACTTGCTTCTGCCCGGATTGTCGTATTTTAAAGCATACGCACCATCCCTACGAAAGCTCACCATGTAAATTGATAACTTAAAAATTAACTTTTTCTGACTTGAATATGCAAAGATCGCTGGAGATTTCTAGTTGGTCCCATTCGAGAAATCAACGTGTTCTTACCAGGAAGTATCCCTCACGGAAAGCAATTGTAGAACAATAACTTGTATGTTTGTTCTCACGTACCGAAATTTGCGCTGCCAAATATTTGCACTTCCGTGATATGAAACTATAGAGATAAGGGATGCTATATATGAGTTATGTTATCATCAATCTCGCCGTCTTTCACGTCTCTGTTCTACGAGTAACACGGAAAAATCCCTCTTTCAATCCTTTATGATTAAACTTTAAATAATCTATAATTCACATCGAATTATAGATATTCCAGGATAAGAATTACAGAATTCCAAGATAAGAATTCTACACGGAGAAAAACGATTTTATTGAAGCATCTAAAAATTTAGATATAGATACAGATTTGAAAATAATTTTGTTGGACTATCAAAATTAAAAAATTCAATGATAAACAATGCTGTAAAAAGTTTTGACATTCTAGCATTCAGTTTAAGCATTCTACATAATTATTTTGATAGTCCAACAAAATTTATTTTTCAGATCTGTATCTAGTTAAATTTTTAAATATTTGAACAAAACAGTTCTTTTCTAATATACATTTATAATTTTATGCAATATAAAAAACATTTGGAAAATTAAAATACACACGCACATATATATATATATATCTCATGCGAAATTAAAATTGCTCTATAATATATAATATTATACATACATTTAATTCTATCTTGAATTCTGATGCGAGTTGTAAATGGTATAAAGTAGAATTTAATTTTCTAATCCTCTTGCTGCTTTTGTGTATACCGCTCCAATTCGAAACGTTGACGTAATAGAAGCTAGGAACAAGGAAACTTTTTTTTTTCGAGCGTTTTCAACGAGTTTTAAGCAACCGCGGAACGTACAAGTATTCCGCTACTAGATATGTATCCACTGTGCTTTACGGGCGTATATGAGTGCGAAAGTACTTGTTATATTCAAATCCGGTCACTTGGCAAGTCCGTGATTGCGCATCGGTGAATATTCCAATATAACTTCGCGGAAAGATAAATATATATTACGATTTTATTACCGCGCGCAAACGCACAATCCCGATCCTCCTGAGAATTCTCGGCAACACCTGTTCTACGGTGATAGTGAGGGGAAAAATTGCTCGAAATGGCCCCATTTCTATGATTCTGCGATCAAAGATGAGCACGTGAATGAATACTACACCGAACGCGTTTCAGTTACTGAATAATGCAGCAGATATAGCGATGCGCATTGATTAAGTGACTTAAAAAAATAGCATAATCGGAACCTAGCGATTTAAGATATGAAAGAAAATTAATCAATATACATTATGAGAGGGTTTTTCTTGTATACGTATAATAATGATTTTTAATTTTTATAACAAATGCTATACTTAAACTTATAAAGTCATCAAATCACTTCACATTGTGATTGTTTTTTTTTTATAATTTTGTATCGATTATGTAATAAAAATTAAAATATGTATATCTAAATTCAGTTTTAGTTACAAATGTCGAGTCATCGCTATCTTACACAAGTTGCTCGATAAATTCGTTGTAGAGTAATAAGTTATTACTCTAAAACATAGGTTTTTTAAAGTAGTGTTATTACTAATAACACTACTTTAAAAAAACCTATGTTTGAGGATGTACGTAACAAGAATATCGTTCAATATTATCCGATAGAAAAGACGGCAGGTAAAGGCTGGCGGATAGTCTTCTTCATAGACGCCCTCGAGGCGTAATATGACATTTAATTAAGAAACTTGGCCGAGCCCAAACGCGCGAGCGCGCACAGCGAATGATATTTGAGGTAATTAAAAATGTATCCGTCGTGGTTCTTTGAGACAAGCCGTTTTCATTGCCGCACAAAGAAGCCTCCCGGGGCTAATCTCCATCTCTCTGCCTCCACCATCCACACCGGGCCCTCTGAATCCTCTCTCCCTCCCTCCCTCCCTCCTTCTCCTCATCCTCCTTCGCTAGCTCGCGCAAAATCCTCTTCGTCGTCCAGATTTCTCTCTCTTTCTCTCCCCCCCTCTCTCTCTCTCCAGAATCCTCCTCGAAATTGCCGCGAGGGTACTCGGCACAGAGAACGAGGGGAAAGGATATCCTGGGCACGTCGGGGAACGTGGAAATTCTTTTAATCGTTTGATAATCTTGTTTAAACCTGTCGCCCCACTCGCGCGCCCAACCCCCGATCTCCCATCCATCTCACCCCCTCTCTGCGTTCCAGGCCCTGCGGCCTGTTGGCTCACTTTGTTTGCACGGATTATGAACAGTCTCGAGAAAGGCGGTGAGACCAGCGCGCGGAATGAGAGGCCGAACGCGGGAGAGGCGAAAAGGCCTTTTGCCTCTCTGTCTCTTTCTTGCGAGGCATCATCCAGGAGATTCCAGCTCCTGCAAAATTAAGCGATCCTTTCCACCCCCTCCCCCCCTCCCTCCGCGCCTTTCAGCCTCTCAAGCTCGTCGGATGCCTTCGCGAGCGCACCTGCCCGGACGTAACTTTATCTGGGCGCACCTACGCCCAACGAAATCCGAAGCACGGTTCGTGAGGGTCAACAGTAGTCGTCAGTAGGGCAAAACAAAATGTAATCAGACACGGAGACGAAAGCATCGTATCTTATTTGACAAACGAGCGGTTGCACTGGACAATTGAATCAATTTGATTCAGCTTTGTAACTTAATCTGATTTTTACTTAATTTAATCTGACTTTTATTCCCCTCCGCTGCATTAAAGAAATCAATTTCACGTTTAATCAACGTTGAGAAAACGGCGATCACAAATAACAACATTAATGCCCGTTTCTATGTAAATTAATTTTTCGATTCAAAGATGGCTTTACACCTTTTTCTGATTTTTAGAATTAGAAAAAGATTAAGAGTTAGTTGAAACAAGATTAAAATTAAACTACATTGGTAGAAAGAAACTAGCATTAAGTCTACTTTTATCCTCAGCAGTAAATTAATTTTAATCTCGGTTTAATTTACTTTTTTTAATTCTTAAAATTACAATGAAAAAAATTTGCTGAATCTTAATACATATTTTTTTTAATATTAATTCAGTAAACACTCGCTTAAAGTAAATAAATATTTATTTAATAAAAAAAACGATAGTTAAATCAGATTAATAGTTGTTTTATGAAATAAATATATATTTACTTAGAACTATTCAGATAAATATTAATTAAAATTCCGTATTTAGATATCTTTTCAGATAGAAAAAGATAAAGAATAGTTAAACTAAGAAAGGGACATGGTAGAAATGAACTGCATCAGACGTCAAATAAGCACGTATTTCTGCAATGCCAAGGAGAGCCTCGAAAAAAGAACTTGTGGAGCAGAAGTCGAGATCGGCGCCGGGGGAGGATTGCTAGTTTCTTCCAGGAAATCTGGGCCAAATGTCGCGCATTACCAAGGGGACAAACGACGCAAACTGCAACAACTAGGACGTGTCGCGCCCATCACGCTGGTATCTATTCATCTATACTACCATGGACGGAGAATTTCGCATCTCCTCGGCTTGGAACTCGAGTCCTCGAGTCTATTATTCGGGGCAGGGACACTCGCGCGTGTCGCCGATGTTCGATGGTAGATAGAGAGATGACACCGTCTTCCGTGGAAGCGGGGACGACACGACGACACGCCGCGCGCTGAGCCGAGCATAAATACACGCGACGCACGCACGCACGTACACGAGGACCGCGCTCATTTGCATATCATCGACGGACGTAGCCTCGACATGAATATTTACCGGTCGTTTATGCGGCCCCGCTTGCGGTTCCATCAGCGCGAGAGTCGTCTGCCACGATCGCATTACGCAGCCTGCCGTAAATCGATAACACGCTCGATAAGCAACGTACGTTTATGTCATCTCTCTGCATTGCGCCTTTATTACGACGCAAACCTGCGCAAACTTTTAACAGGTTGATTGCCTCGTCATGGTCGCGCGAGAGTATGTTTATAAAAATATATAAAACATCTCCATGTAATTTGTGAGTACTTCTTTGTGAATATTTTTCACGTAATATACGTAAATAAATAAATATAAATAAGTAAATAAATATGTATATACATAAATAAATATATATATATATATATTTATTAATACTTATTTGTTAGATCATTTCTGGAGAGCCTTATCAATTAATATTTATTATTTAAGAATAGCGCTGCCTGTAATATGCGCCATCACTACTTTGATTCGTATTTCAATTATATTAATTTTTTGTTTGGTTATTTCACCGTCTCCTTACTTAAATCATGGATCAAACTTAATAAAGAGTTGATCAGAGTTAATGCAATGATTTGCTTTCTACGTAAATGCAAATCTTTAGAATTGTTTCCACATCATTTATCAAAAAATTTTTTAGATAACCAGAACTTTTACAGTACGAAATATACACACATTTTCCATAAAAAGAAAATTAAATTTATGAAATTGATAATTAATTACGAAATAGCAGATGCATTCGCAAGAATCAGAAATACTAATTATAAATTATTTAACCTCACGAATAAAATCAACAACAATCTTCCCTTAAAATTTTTTAATAGTTTTATTCAGTCTCAGTATGCTTCTTTTAATAAATTACGTTTATCTGAACATCAAAAATTTAACCGAAAAATTAAATGGCTATTAAAAGAACACCATCGTAAAATATTGAGAAGCATGCCGGATGTAGAGTATTATTGCGTGAGAAATGAGGGCACCATATCTTCGAGCAATAATTCCATTCTCGAGTCCATCAATAGTGATTCTTGTTTCCAATATCTATTCCATAAACCCAACAATACGAACTTTATTCGAGACACTTTTGGAATCAAGCTATTTGTTGCAGATTTTTTAAATATGAATTATGATTTTCTTAAAATTAACAACGAATGGTTTAAGAATCTCAGTGCCACACACATTCCCCCTGAAGTGCAAGCATTGTTACAACTAGGCCAAGGGTTTTGTTTACCGAATCTTAACGTAGATAATGCTAGGATTGAATTTATAAAGGATCTCGAACACAATTTTTTCAGATGCAAGATACCTAACATTAAAGAACTCAGAAACAAAATATTCCCACTTTTGAAAAATATGAATAATACCACTCACACGGATATTGAAAAAACGATTATTGCACTTCACTCAACAACAAAAACTTTTTGTAAAAATAATCCACATATTATATTTATTACCGCAGATAAAGGCAATGTTGTCGTGGCGCTAGATAAATTTGACTATATTAGGAACATGGAATTGTTGTTCTCTGATGCTCAAACATATTCTATACTTAAACGTAATCCGGCCAATGCGATTATATCTGATCTTTTGTCTCTATTAAGATGTTGGAAGCGTCGCGATTTGATCTCGGATTCCAGGTATAAATTTTTATATTCATCTAATAAAATTTTGCCACGTGCTTATGGACTAAAAAAGATACACAAAGTGGGGTACCCATTACGGGTCATTATTTCATCTACCGGTAGCCCACTTCATAACTTGGCTTCTTTTTTGCATAGAATTTTACATGACAACCTTCCACGTGCAAAAAGTTGTATTATCAACAGTTTCCATCTGACTGACGTACTCTGTTCTCTGACAATTCCCGACGAGTCTGTTTTGCTGTCTCTTGATGTGGTTTCTCTCTTCACGAACGTTCCTGTGGAGCTTGCTATGGACATTCTCTCGACGAAGTGGTGTTATATTGAACGTAATACAGAGCTTCCTAAATCAGAATTTTTTAAGGCCTTAAAGTTGGTTCTCAGCTCTTCATATTTTACCTTTAATGACAAGTTCTACAAACAGACTTTTGGCGTACCTATGGGGTCTCCGCTCTCTCCCATTATTGCAGACATCGTTATGCAAGAGTTAGAATCCATCTCAATAAGAAAACTGACAACAACACCGACATTCTATGTAAGATATGTGGATGACATTCTATTGATCACTGAATCATCTGATTACAGTGAAATTTTAGACACATTCAACGATTACCATCCACGTTTAAAATTCACAATGGAAGAGGGAGGAGACACCATCAATTTTCTGGACGTCACGTTAATAAAAGAAGGCAGACATATTATTACGGATTGGTATAGAAAACCAACTTTTTCGGGCCGTTTTTTAAACTTTTTTTCCTGCCATCCTATCTCTCAAAAAGTGGGTACCATTTTGGGTCTGATAGATAAGGTGATTTTACTTTCCCATCCAAGATTCCACAGGGAAAATTTCAATAAAGTTATCTCTATTTTGTTAAAGAATGGTTACCCGCTTAGATTAATCTTTTCCACCATTAAAAAAAGACTGCAGAAAAAATTTCAACAATTAAACAATCGTAACACATCCATGGACCCGGTCCTTTCATCTGAAGATAGGAGATATTTTACTATTCCATACATCCCATCCATAACAGACAAGATAAAAAATTTCATAAGGGGTATTCCGGGATTGAAGTTGGCATACAGGGGTATTCAGAAATTAAATGCATTCATTAGAGTGCAAAAAGATAAATTACCGACCACATCACAAGCTGAAATAGTTTATAGACTTGACTGTAGAGACTGTGATGCCTCTTATGTAGGCCAGACTGGTAGATGTATCGGTGTACGGATGTCAGAACACAAGAACCACATTAACAGAAATACGTCTCAATCGTCAGTTATTACCGATCATAGGTTACAGACCTCCCATGATTTTGATTGGGATAACGTAAAAATTTTGGATAAAGAGATGTTTTGGAATAAGAGATTGTTATCTGAAATGATCCATATCAAGAGGCAAAAAAATGGTCTTAACCTACAGAATGACACATTAAAACTTGATCCGTTATATGAGAGTCTCTTTTCAATTTCGTGACGCTTCTTCACATTACTCTCTCTTTGTTATAATAAGCTTAGGTTTTTTATTATTTTTTGTTAATGTATGAGGGTTTCCTTGAGAGTTTCAAATTTGAGTGCGTGTACTTAATTTATGTTAATTTATCACAGACTTTTTATTCTATTGACTCTTTTCTATTGACTATTTATTTCAGACTTTTTATTCTACTGACACAGATATTATTCTAATTTAATTTTTAATCTTACTGTTTTATGTCATTGACATTACAAACTTGACTATTAAGACATATTTTTAAATAATAACAAAAAATTTTATTAAGACATATTTTTAAATAATAACAAAAAAAAAATTCTCTGTTTTTTTTTTCTTCTTTCTCCTTTTTTTTTTCTCTTTTCTTTTTCCCTATGTTTTTTACTTTTTTATTACTTATTAATTAGTATTTTTATTT